GTGAAAAACAAGAGATTGGCTTCATGAAGTTCTATTTTGAGGCTAAAGAACCGGTGAAAATAAATCAAAAGAAATCACCAAAGTTATAACATAATTGAAATCATTATTCATTAATATTTACCTAAAAATCGAATATATCCTATTTGTATATTACAAAACTTGTTAAATTGTTTCAAAATTAATATTCGACGAAAATCTCCCTTATAATATAACATTTTCAACATTAGAAAACAATTCCACTTTTGTCAGATTCAATGTTTAATGACGAGAATAAATATGAATGGTTATATCTTATTTTGTAAATATTGAAACAATTCTTAACTATTTTGATGTTAATCAGCATAACTGATGATTACGTTAAGCTTCAAATATTTCTAAAAATAACAAATTGTCTAACATTTTTTGTTTAAAAAAACGTAGATTATATAATTTAAAACTGATTGGTTTGAGCTTGCCAAATTTTCGCCACATCACTCATAGATACATTTGTCATACAGCCCCATTAAACTGCAGTTAAGTGATATTTTGTACAGATAAAACTATCTGTTATATGTCACCCAATTCGCGGTTGCGACAATGCAATTAAAATTAGTGTTTGTTTTGTACCTTTCGCACCTTATCAAAGTGGTAAGGTAAACACTTTGCTATAAATATATCTTTGTTACAAGAAATAACGTCTACTGTGAAGTGATTCCGTGGCTGTGTATAAAGCAACAAAAATTGAATGTTTGCCAAAAATGTGTCATTAAAGACCGATAATTGAGATAATGCAGTTGCTCAAATGGACTGTGATCACATTTTGCCAAACGCAACGGCAAACAAACACTATCAATACGCTTCATATGTACATATATACAGAAGAATTCAAGCGATCTTCCAGGTTCTACAATAGGACCTATATGAATCGATATAGTGCCTTTGTGATCAATGCTACTATAAATATCAGCAAGTTGAAGGCTTAAGGAAATTTCATTCGGTACGAAAAGTTGTTGTTGAATTCTGAAGAATTCTCAAATAAATATCAAACCTTAAGCTCGACGTATACTTTTGAAAACACTTATATCTCACAAGTTAATTTAACTGTTTTTATTCACAATACCGAACAAAAATCATCAGAATATCAAATTTTATGGTGTATTCGTAAACCGATAAAACCATACTTCTCACACAATTTGAAAGCTAGAGTTACCAAATTTCAAAGGTATATTGATAGTAATACTCTTCAAAAGACCGAAAACAAAATGCTTAGACCACGCCCAATACCAGTGCAGTACAGCACAAAATCAATGAATTTCATAATAACAGTATTACATGCACTGGTTTAGAAGCGATTTTCTTTCTGTTAATTAAATTAAAATAATCTCTACAAATGTGCAAACTGTTGTTTAGAGAATATTTGGAGGTGGAAATTACTCACTACTTGCCACACTTCACTTCTTTCCTTGCCGATCAAAGAAAAACTCCGAACAATTATATAAACTCAGTAGGGTTAACTGCACTGGAGGCACACGACCCATTACGGGTCTGCAGCTAAGTTAACAGTTACTCGCGACGATTTGTGTGCAGCACTTCCTGTGTCATTGTCCGTCACTACGCTGGAAAAGATTTTGTGTCTCCCATTTTTTTTTATTAGTTTGTTGCAATGTCCGTCATGCTGTCTGTCCGTCTGTACTCAGTAAAAGCCTTGAAACTTTAAACATATACTTTTATGTGCCCGCGTGAGAAAGTATTAAAACTTATTGTGATACGTTCACTAGGAGGCACCTTAAAGATCGATAACGTTGGGTGACGCTACCCACTCCGCCTCCAAAAACCGATACACCTTATAGTATAAATCGATAAAACAATATATCGCACACAATTTGAAAGCTAGAGTCTCTAAATTTAAAAACTATATTGCACATCAAAAGGCGGCAGAATAGTCCCTCCCCAAAATCGATAAAAGCCTACATCTCGAATAATTTAAGAACTTCAGTTACCAAACTTGGAAGGCAGATTACTAAGAACCTCCTTGCTACATATTGTTCTTCCAAAATTCAAAGTAGCCTCTATTAACACAACTTTAAATTAAAATTGGAAGTAGATTACTAGACGTAATCTTCTATTCGAACGTTCTTCTATTCAAATTCGACATGTCAATCTCTAAAATTGTGCTAATTATGGTGTATTAGTGATTATTCAATTGTTGAGGCATTAATGCTACTTCCACACCCGCATCCACACAACAACCAGAAGATTCATCGCCAACTATGATGGTATTATCACATTATTCCTCAGTGGGTTGAACTCATCTGTAACGTTCTCACTTGTTTTCAATTATCGTTAAATCAACCATTTAATTATAAAATATATATTTGATTATTTCGTGGTATATTATACTTTCATCATAATTTAAAACACATTACTATAAAATCATGATCAATGAAATTAAAAATACATGTTTTAAAAATATCTCAAAGTATAAATATATCCGTTTGATAAGTTCAAATAGTCATCAGTTTTTCAAATGCATTTCACGTTGACGGTGTTTCTGTGCTTTGCACAGTTCTTGAAAACGGTAACAAATTACTTACTTTGACGAATTAATAAAATTCTGTTAATATGTTATTAACTTGACAGAACGCTGATCCGCCCGTGATATATAAACTAACAAATATAGAGTGCGTATCCAATGATAAATACATTACAAACATCTCCTGCTCTCTTAAGGCCGTGAATTGGAATAAGGCAGTTGCTCAAATGGACTGTGATCTCGTTTTACCATTACGTAACCCTGAGGTGAGAAAAAAATGTAAAATGTTAACTAAATATTAGTTAAATATTAACATTAACATATTAATTTGTCTGAAAGTAGGTTCGGATGGAACTCCAGAAAAAGGGTTATAACAATCGATATCATCCATTCCTTGTCAATGTCACAATGAATATGTGCGACGTCATAGCTAATAGAAATTACATTCCCTACGGACGGATATCTTGGAAGATTTCGAAGGAATTCTCAAATTTAAATCACAGTTGTCCTTTCACGGTAAAATCAATATATTATCTATTTACATTAAATAACATTTTTTTCGACTCACTTTCAGGGTCACTTAATGGCAAGAAACATGTGGGTAAATGAGAAGTATATTCCAGTACCAATACCATTGGGTTTCTACGTGTTTTCAGCTCATTTTAGTGAAAAACAAGAGATTGGCTTCATGAAGTTCTATTTTGAGGCTAAAGAACCGGTGAAAATAAATCAAAAGAAATCACCAAAGTTATAACATAATTGAAATCATTATTCATTAATATTTACCTAAAAATCGAATATATCCTATTTGTATATTACAAAACTTGTTAAATTGTTTCAAAATTAATATTCGACGAAAATCTCCCTTATAATATAACATTTTCAACATTAGAAAACAATTCCACTTTTGTCAGATTCAATGTTTAATGACGAGAATAAATATGAATGGTTATATCTTATTTTGTAAATATTGAAACAATTCTTAACTATTTTGATGTTAATCAGCATAACTGATGATTACGTTAAGCTTCAAATATTTCTAAAAATAACAAATTGTCTAACATTTTTTGTTTAAAAAAAAGAAGAAAAAACGTAGATTATATAATTTAAAACTGATTGGTTTGAGCTTGCCAAATTTTCGCCACATCACTCATAGATACATTTGTCATACAGCCCCATTAAACTGCAGTTAAGTGATATTTTGTACAGATAAAACTATCTGTTATATGTCACCCAATTCGCGGTTGCGACAATGCAATTAAAATTAGTGTTTGTTTTGTACCTTTCGCACCTTATCAAAGTGGTAAGGTAAACACTTTGCTATAAATATATCTTTGTTACAAGAAATAACGTCTACTGTGAAGTGATTCCGTGGCTGTGTATAAAGCAACAAAAATTGAATGTTTGCCAAAAATGTGTCATTAAAGACCGATAATTGAGATAATGCAGTTGCTCAAATGGACTGTGATCACATTTTGCCAAACGCAACGGCAAACAAACACTATCAATACGCTTCATATGTACATATATACAGAAGAATTCAAGCGATCTTCCAGGTTCTACAATAAGACCTATATGAATCGATATAGTGCCTTTGTGATCAATACTACTATAAATATCAGCAAGTTGAAGGCTTAAAGAAATTTCATTCGGTACGGAAAAATATTTATATTTCACAAGTTAATTTAACTACATGTTTTTATTCATAATACCGAACAAAAATCATCAGAATATCAAATTTTATGGTGTAAATCGATAAAACCATACTTCTCACACAATTTGAAAGCTAGAGTTACCAAATTTCAAAGGTATATTGATAGTAATACTCTTCAAAAGACCGAAAACAAAATGTTTAGACCACGCCCAATATCGGTGCAGTACAGCACGAAATCAATGAATTTCATAATAATAGTTTTGCATGTATTGTTTTAGAAGCAATTTTCTTTCTGTTAATTAAGTTAAAATAAACTCTACAAGTGTGCAAACTGTTGTTTAGAGAATACTTGGAGGTGGAAATTACTCACTACTTGCCACACCTCACTTCTCTCCTTGCCAATCAAAGAAATACTCCGAACAATTATATAAACTCAGTAGGGTCAATCTCTAAAATTGTGCTAAATATGGTGTATTAGTGATTATTCAATGGTTAAGGCATTAATGCATTACTACTACTACTTTTTGCTACTTCCAGGCCCGCATCCACACAACAACCAGAAGATTCATCGCCAACTATGATGGTATTATCACATTATTCCTCAGTGGGTTGAACTCATCTGTAACGTTCTCACTTGTTTTCAATTATCGTTAAATCAACCATTTAATTATAAAATATATATTTGATTATTTCGTGGTATATTATACTTTCATCATAATTTAAAACACATTACTATAAAATCATGATCAATGAAATTAAAAATACATGTTTTAAAAATATCTCAAAGTATAAATATATCCGTTAGGTAAGTTCAAATAGTCATCAGTTTTTTAAATGCATTTCACGTTGACGGTGTTTCTGTGCTTTGCACAGTTCTTGAAAGCGGTAATAAATCACTTACATTGACGAATTAATGAAATTATGTTAATATGTTATTAACCTGACAGAGCCCTGATCCGCCCGTGATATATAAACTAACAAATATAGAGTGCGTATCCAATGATAAATACATTACAAACATCTCCTGCTCTCTTAAGGCCGTGAATTGGAATAAGGCAGTTGCTCAAATGGACTGTGATCTCGTTTTACCATTACGTAACCCTGAGGTGAGAAAAAAATGTAAAATGTTAACTAAATATTAGTTAAATATTAACATTAACATATTAATTTGTCTGAAAGTAGGTTCGGATGGAACTCCAGAAAAAGGGTTATAACAATCGATATCATCCATTCCTTGTCAATGTCACAATGAATATGTGCGACGTCATATCTAATAGAAATTATATTCCGTACGGACGGATATATTTTAAGATTTCGAAGGAATTCTCAAATTTAAATCACAGTTGTCCTATTACGGTAAAATCAATATATTATCTATTTACATTAAATAACATTTTTTTTTTCGACTCATTTTCAGGGTCACTTAATGGCAAGAAACATGTGGTTAAATGAGAAGTATATTCCAGTACCAATGCCATTGGGTTTCTACGTGTTTTCAGCTCGTTTTAGTGAAAAAGAAGAGATTGGTTTCATTAAGTTCTATTTTGAGGCTAAAGAACCGGTGAAAATAAATCAAAAGAAATCACCAAAGTTATAACATAATTGAAATCATTATTCATTAATATTTACCTAAAAATCGATTATATCCTATTTGTATATTACAAAACTTGTTAAATTGTTTCAAAATTAATATTCGACGAAAATCTCCCTTATAATATAACATTTTCAACATTAGAAAACAATTCCACTTTTGTCAGATTCAATGTTTAATGACGAGAATAAATATGAATGGTTATATCTTATTTTGTAAATATTGAAACAATTCTTAGCTATTTTGATGTTAATCAGCATAACTGATGATTACGTTAAGCTTCAAATATTTCTAAAAATAAAAAATTGTCGAACATTTTTTGTTGAAAAAAAGAAGGAAAAACGTAGATTATATAATTTAAAACTGGTTGGTTTGACCTCGCCAAATTTTCGCAACATCACTCACAGATACATTTGTCATCCAGCCCCATTAAACTGCAATTAAGTGATATTTTGTGCAGATAAAACTATATGTTATATGTCACCCAATTCGCGGTTGCGACAATGCAATTAAAGTTAGTGTTTGTTTTGTACCTTTCGCTCCTTATCAAATTTTTACCAAAAATGTGTCATTAAAGACTGATGAATTAGATAAAGCAGTTGTTCAAATGGACTGTGATCACATTTTGCCAAGTGCACCGGCAAACAAACACTATCAATACGCTTCATATGTACATATATACAGAAGAATTCAAGCGATCTTCCAGGTTCTACAATAAGACCTATATGAATCCTTTGTGATCAATGCTACTATAAATATCAGCAAGTTGAAGGCTTAAAGAAATTTCATTCGGTACGGAAAGTTGTTGTTAAATTCTCCAGAATTCTCAAATAAATATCAAACCTTCAGCTCGACGTATACTTTTGAAAACACTTATATTTCACAAGTTAATTTAACTACATGTTTTTATTCACAATACCGAACAAAAATCATCAGAATATCAATTATTATGGTGTAAATCGATAAAACCATACTTCACACACAATTTGAAAGCTAGAGTTACCAAATTCCAAAGGTATATTGATAGTAATACTCTTCAAAAGACCGAAAACAAAATGTTTAGACCACGCCCAATACCAGTGCAGTACAGCACGAAATCAATGAATTTCATAATAATAGTTTTGCATGTATTGTTTTAGAAGCAATTTTCTTTCTGTTAATTAAGTTAAAATAAACTCTACAAGTGTGCAAACTGTTGTTTAGAGAATACTTGGAGGTGGAAATTACTCACTACTTGCCACACCTCACTTCTCTCCTTGCCGATCAAAGAAATACTCCGAACAATTATTTAAACTCAGTAGGGTTAACTGCACTGGAGGCACACGACCCATTACGGGTCTGCAGCTAAGTTTACAGTTACTCACGACGATTTGTGTGCAGCACTTCCTCTGTCATTGTCCGTCACTACGCTGGAAAAGATTTGGTGTCTCCCATTTTCAGAAATATGTCGGACTTCAGCAAAATTACATCAAAGCAACTGGTTTTGTTGATCCAAGCCTCTGCATGGGCCTCAAGCTTAGTGATGTAAAGGTATACGAGGAAAAGCAGAACGGGTTGCAGTCCGTGCAGGTTTACAATGATCCAAAGTTAACTCAAGTGGGTTTGGTATAATGGGGATCGCTTTTCATCTCTCCGAAAACCTTCCTAGCCTAGAACTAACTTAAATGGGTTACTTTTGTGTATGATTTCATCTTTTAAGGTCTACGATATTCATCAAAATATTTATATATTACAAACTTACATAAACAACTTTAATATTTTTATGTTTTATCCTATCCGATATTAAAATATAATCAGTTTCATACAAAAATCTTCTTCCTATTTTCTATTTAACTATGTGAAAATTTCCAAAATCCCAACTTTGTGCTGACTTACACAACAAAATAAGAAATATTTAACATATAATTGATTTTATGAAAAGAGTTGTGAGTTAAGTATAATTTTAAGGCGTTCATTCGTGATTCGAGGCGTTTTATTAGAACAGAGACACAAGATAAGGCACTCTCCACTTAGAACTTATGCCAATTGATTCCGATTCAGTTAACTGTGCAGCATCCATTTCGGTCGACTGACTACATATATTGAAGTCATATCAGTAATAAACTCCCAGCAGGCCAGCGCAAATTTCACAAAGTGCGAATTTTAACAGTTGCTTTGCGAAGCATTTCCAATTAAATTAATTCACTGAATGCTAAATACAAACTGCAACAAGAACAACAGTCTAACTGCGATATCCGTTTCCGTTGAGCTACAGTTACAATTCCAAATACAATTACAATTAGAAATTTCGCGGCATTAAGCAATTCAATTAGGCAAGAGGCAAATCAGAAGTGCGACACAAGCGCAAAGAATTCTCAACTGATGCGCACTTTTAATTACTGCATAACAAGAGGAAAACCAATCCAAGTTTGTTGACTGCCAGCTGACAGTTTGGCGAGGGTGATGATGCTTATAAGTCCCTTGGTAGATGTAAGGCTTGCAGGAGGAGCAGCGTCCAGGCGCCGACAAAATGAAGTCTTAAATCACAGCATGTTATTTCCGCTGCACGTGCTCCGAGCAGGGGGCCAAGGAGGGCGTAGGGGCCGTGGAGGGTTTGAGGAGCTGCCGGCGAGGCGCATTTAAGGTTCCGTTTCCGGCTGCGAGGACAACCCGCTAAGGACGATTATGTCGCCCGCGCACACAGATCCCAATCGCCAGTGCGAATTGTTTTTTCTATTTTTTTTTTTTATTCCCGCTGATACTGCTACGTCTGCTGCTGCTATTTCAGCAACGATTGGCTTGTTTTGCCCTTTTGGGTATTATCAGTGGCGGCTTTATGTCATCATAACCGCAACGATGGGCAATGGCTGAGCGCCGTAACAACGAGCTGTCCATGTCCATGTGCTGGTCCAGTGTCCTGCGGACAAGTATGGGGATGGGGATGGAACGAGCAAGCGAATGTCCGTTTACATAAATTTCGATGCGCGGCAAAAGGAAAACTGTCGAGCGTGCAGAAAAATGAGATGACAAATGAAGTTTGTTGGCTAATGGCAACGGAAATGCGAGCAGGATGGGCAGAGAGGGGCAAGGAAGGTTCAGTAGGTAGCCCAAGCTCACACTTTTTGTGGCGTGGCAATGAACGGAAGTTGAAACAAACAAGTAAATAAATGGCGCCAATTGGCCGCCTCCCGACAACGACAACGCTCCACTTTTCAGCCAACTTACTGCCCGGCTGCCTGCCTGCACTCAAAAAAATCTGTTGACCAGAACTCTTAAATAAGACTATTTTTAGTTGCTTGTGTTTTTTATTGTGCTATTAAAATTATTGAACACAAATATTTTACAATATTTAAGATAGCTTATTAATTAAAACAGAAATAAACTGAAAATAATACAACAAAATTTTTATGCAACTAGAACAATTTTGTGAGTTTCTTGGTGACTTGCAAAATTTTAGTGTGCATATTTTTTTCAAAGTGTAGGTGTCGTTTGTTGTTTTAAAATTGTTGGGCAGCAGACGCTGAACGAATTTATTTGGTAATCTGAACTGAGTCAGCCACAGCGATTATTACGAGAGTAAACACAATCCATTTTCGCGTGTTGATTGCTCGCTTCTCCCGATAATTAACAGCCAGCTGAAGAAGGGATCTGGCCGCTTAGTCAGCCTCATCAAATATCGTAACACCGCTACCCCTTACCCAACGTTCCCATATCGTACACCAACAGTTGCAGCCGTAATTCAATATTAAAAACCAATATCTTCAACGTGCACAACAACACTCTGCTGTATAAGTATGCCTTCTAGCATAGCAGACACTGCATATCCTATGATAACACACACACTCCCTTGCCTCCAGTGGCAAAAGCTGGAAACATAAACAAGCAGAAAATCTAATCGCCAGCTATGATCAAAGTGTCCAGTTTTGATATTAAGTTCAACATTAAATGTGAAACTAGCCAAGTGTTTGGGCGGCGAATAGTCTTTTTGCCCAATGGCCAAAAGTCTCCAGCTAGCTATATATACATACATATATTATATATATATATATAGATATATATATACATACGTAATTTGAGGGGCGTCATGTGGCATAATGTGCCATAAGCTTTGGTTGTCGCTTCGTTTTTGGCTTCAGGGCTGCAAAGCATTTACCAAGACATAAAGTCAACTTTGTCGCTATAACTGTATATATATATATATATATGTATATACTCTCTTGGCGTGTGCATGTGTGTGTATTGGTAACCCCTGGGCGGTGTAAATATTATTCTTATCTTACACTATAAATCTACATATGACAATTTTCGCACAGCTGCTGGCGAGCGGGCAACTGGCAACTGGAGACTCTGGACTGAAGTAGCACATAAAACCAACATTTGTGCATATTAAAGATGCCATTGATTCTGATTTGGCTTTATAAATTATAGTTTAATGTATTCTCAATTAGGTTAGAGTTAGTTAACCTTTTTTTTTTAATTACTTAGCTGTTATGAATGTTAAATAGTTGATATTGTTGTCTCTTAAAATATACTGTATTAATCGCGTATGTATTTTAAAACATCTCTGCTATTGAAAGTAGATTTTTCGGTAGACGTATTTAATATATTATCTTAGAATCACTTTTAAAAACGACATTTTATAGCTTTTTATAGAGTAACTCATAGTCAATTACTTCTAAAATTGCATTTCTTGTTTGTTCGTGCATTTCTCTATATTTTTTGGTTTTTATTTTTGGTTCGCTATGGTTCGCTTTTAATTGGCAGCTGCCCATAGTACTCACTAATTAAAAACCATATGTTTTGTTGCCTTTCACAGTTCCCGAAACTACACAGAAGTCATCTAACGAGGCGCCATTCAAAGCCATGGCTCCGAGTGTGGTTGCTTGGAGTTAACAACTAAATGAGTGGCAGAGTGAGCTTACACGCTTATCTAAAACTCGCACCTAAGGTTGTGAGAGAGAAGCTGAATAAGAGATTTCCAGAGTTGTCACAGAACTCGCATAAGTCTCTGTCACATGCTACACAGTTGAGCGTTGTGGCAGATTTTGTGGTTGCTGCTGCAGTTGGTGCATTTGGCATGCATGTACAGCATGCTTTGCATAAATGTGTGGCACATATATGAAATCGCATAAATCAGGAAACTGGATACATGTTACACTGCCATACAGAAGGACACACAATTGCTGATTGCAAAGAGCCATGTAGGAGAACAACAAAAATCTATACCCAGAGTGTCGAGAGTTGCGGAGACCGACTGAATGATATCCTGTACCAAGCCCCAAAATACACTTAAATTTAATTTGCATATAGAAATTATGAAGTTCTGTAGAATAGATATCAAAATAGTAAATTAATATCGATGTGTGTATCCTAATCGATTTGCCCAACTCTTATAAATATCTAAATATGTGCAAGAATACTGAGTAAGAATTACTTTTGGATGTGCAAGTTAAACTTACTTGATCTGTCTCAGCCTCAAATTATAAATACAAATCTCCTGGTGGTATGGTCTCTAAAAACCCCTTCACCTATAGGGTATAAGTAGACATACCATCCAGCACTCGGCTGCATAGCAACAGTTGTACACTGCACCAACCACACAAGGGGAACTGGAGCCGCAACAACACCAGCAGCATCAGCAAGTACAACAGCATGAGCTGGACATGTCGCGCAGCATGAAAGCAAAAGGCAAAAGACAATAGAGTGTGGGATCATAAAGGCAACGGTGGAAACGATGATTAGTTTTAAGGCCAGCGACTGAGCTGTACCACACACACTCACCCACACCGACTCTTGCACTGTGGGAACAATTGAACATTTTTTTAGACATTACTCAAAGATAATATTCAATTTTTGGGCTTTGATCGATTGGCTTGTGTGCCTGAAGTTTGTAGAAGTTGAGAAACTAAAACCAAAATTATTTCATGGCATGGCGCATTTTATTTAAATTAATACTAATTCCACTTTAAGTACTCATTTTTCTGGCATCGAAATGATGTATTATTTTCATAGTACATTTAAGGTGCTAGGTGAAACAACAAATAGATAGTCACGCCAAACCGGGTTGGCTGGTAAATCTGAGAGGAAGGGAAACATACGTCAGCCGGTGTGGTTGGCATCAAAAGAAAACAACTGATATGGGTTGGGTGCTGGGATGGCGATGGCTGCACTTAACTTTGACCCTAACGAATGCGCAATAGTTAGCCAAATCAAGGCAAACTCTTGCGTTGTGGGCGTGGCCATGTCGGCTATTTTGCGTTGCGTTATCAGCGTTCAACGCAACATCCGCATTCGGATCGGCCGCGGCGCAACGCAGCAGCGCTGCTTTCGCCAAAGGCAAGTTGTTGACACTTTTATGAACTCTACAGATTGCCCATGTTGCGTGACTTTTGTTGCGGCTTGTTAGCCTTAACAGCAACCGCCTCTTGTCCGCCCGCCTTTTTTAACAGTTGGGGCTGCGGCTGCGGCGGCTTCTGCTGCTGGTGGACTTCAACCACATTTTTGTTTGTGGGACCGATGCTAACAGTCAATGCTTATTGCATTTTTACACTGGTTGAGGTTTGAGTTTAAGAGAAACTGCTAAGGCTATGAAAATTTGTATTTTAACACCTATTTGATTTTATACAGATTAA